TCTACCCATCTTGATTCGGTTGTATACCTTCATCTACGCTAGCTACCATACAAACCTTCCGCGGTGATAATTAGGCGCACAACACAAAATTTGTATCTAACTGGAAATTCAAAGGAACAGTTTCCTAAAACTTTATTTACATTTATACACACACATATTTTTGCACACTACCACACTAAATATTAGATAGAACAATTTCGTTAGCTTTAATCAACTTCTATTGTACATTTGAATGTCCTTTTGTATTTTTTGTATTTTAAATTAGACAATTAATCTCAAAGAATGCAACTGAGACAGATTTTCTTATATAAGACGTCAAAACAAAAATTAAATTGCAATATGATGTCAACATCTTTAGAGTCTAGAAATGTTGATGTTAAAAGGATTCAGTAAAATCTTTACTTTGTTCCAAAATAATTCTTTAAAATCACAATAACATATTCTTTTGTTTATGTTACATGAAATAATCATAGAGATTTAGCAATATTCAGTTTCACTATCATCTCATAATAATAAAATATATTGGATATAAAGAATCTTCAGGTTCCCACATGGTATATAATTTGGTTAGAAGCGAATAAATGCACTTCATTATATTTTAAATTATAACATTCAATATTTATAACCGATTTTTACAAAAACATTATCAGGAATAATTATCCATATTTTTTAGAAACCTCAACATAGAGAGCAGCAGACGTTGTCTTATACTTAAAATACTCGCAGAAGAAACGAAGTTTCATTTCTATAGACTAGTTATTACATGGAAAAATTGCTAATACACAACGATTGATACCAGAAATAAGAGCCACAAATCATTTCTGTACAATTATTTTTAATTCTAAATACGACGAAAAGGACGAATTCTAAGGACGAAAAATTTTATTTATCACTCTGTCTATTTTAAAAACTTTTATTTCTATTTCGTATCAAAGTTTCTATCAACTATATTAAGCACATTGTCTATTGTCAGAAAAACTATAATGAAATTTATATTAAGAAAATCCTTTTATTATTTTAAGAAGAAACAAAAACTAAAATAACTTTTCAGAAAACAAAAGAAAATTCCAACTACGTTAAATAACTTTCATTTGATTTTTGATTTCTAAATCTTCTGTTTTTCTTAAAAATTTATAAAATCATACAAAATTTAAAGATATACTTTTGGACATCTCATATGTACAATGAAGCACATTATAAAGCATTATCTTAAATTTAGTTATCCTTTTTGAGTTTGTGATCCAAAATAGAAATCTCTCTGTCTCCCTCTCTCCATCTCTAATTTTAGATAATACTTGTATACTGTTAGGAAAAATTCTTTTGTTATAATCAGAACTACATACATACATACATAAAATCTAAACATAAAAGAGATTTTATAGATTTTACATACATACTACTTTCCCAAAACAACTCATATAGGTTTTTCTCATCCTTTTGCTTCTCGTAATCTTCAAATCTTAACAGTTTCTTTTAAAATTTTCAAATATAATTTCTTGTCCAAAATCATTTTTATATCAAAATCATTATTGCCACATTACTTGTCATCTATTGTATTCTCTGTATTATATATTTTGAAAAAGGATTCCAAAAAAGGATAATTGCATAAGAGACTGAAACATACAAAGATATTTTAAAAATATTTTAAACTTTTCATTGAACATTTTACTTATATAATAAAAGAAAGATTCACTTGCCCAAGTCCAAAGATTATATAGGAGTTCAGGATTGGGAGGAATAATACGAGAATTTAATTAAAGATCTTATGAAGTTAGGTTAGGTTGCACGGCCCCCCGAAGCATACACCTAGGCCACTAAGGCCCGTTGTTATGCTTTACATTCGCTAGGTCCGTAGCCCGCTCAAAAACGTGGACCCATGAAACGTCCGCCTGGAGTGGGTCACCGTTTCCTCCTCCTCCTCGTCACAGCAACTCCTACAGAGATCTTTTGCGGGGCGGCCCGCCCTCCTGGCATGATCGCCCATTAGACAGTGTCCAGTTAAAACCCCTATAACCGCGCCAATATCCTCCCGTCGGAGAGATATTAGATCCCTTGTGCGACGCAAGTCTAGCTTTGGCCACAACTTCCTTGCCGCGTTACACGTAGTTTTATTCGCCCATCTGAGATCGGTACGTTCCACCGCTGCACTGCGTAGCAGTAGCCTGTGGGTGCTAAGAGGCATGCCCAGGTTCTCCTATTCAGGTAGAATTCCGAAGGTCGTTCCATGTTCCGCAAGCTCATCCGCCTTGCAATTCCCTGAGATCCCACTGTGTCCGGGAATCCAAACCAAGTTTAACTCGAACTGCCTCTAGGACCGTTCTGGACGTAGAGGTCTCCGACTCCAGCGCCCTCATTGCGGCCTGGCTGTCCGTGAAGATGCTAACACTGCCCACGGACACCGCATGCTCGCCAAGCCAGCGCAGAGCCTCCCCAATTGCCACCACTTATGCCTGAATGCCCACCAACACACACCATTGCCATCCTCTGAACCCTGCTGATTAACCTCAGGTTAAAGGAAGTACGGAGCGCCGGCCACCACACCAGAACTCCGTACATCAGAACCGGTCTCACCACCGCGGTCTACAGCCAATAAACAATGCTTGGTTTCAGGCCCCACCTCTTCCCTATAGCTCTCTTGCACGAATAAAGCGCAATAGTTGCTTTCTTTACTCTCTCCATGATGTTAAGTCTCCAGTTCAGCTTTGAATCCAGAACCAGCCCCAGGAATCTAGCCTACCTGCTGAAGGATAGGCCGATTCCGCCAAGTTTCGGAGAAGCCACTGCTGAAATCTTATATCTCCTACTGAAAATGACTAGCTTCGTCTTTTGAGGGTTAATAGATAGCCCACAGCCGGTCGCCCAGTTCGAAACTAGGCTACGAGCCCTCTGTATCAGCCCCTTTAGTGCATGGAGGTACTTCCCAGATAAAGCCACTGCCACGCCATATATATAGCCTTCCCCCTCCAGGAATACTAGTAACCGATTGATTACCAGGTTCCAGAGAAGAGGAGAAAGCTCCGACAGAGCTCGAGTGATCGACCGCGACCTGACGTTGTTGAAAGCGCCTTCAATACCTAGGAAGGCAGCCAGTGTGTATTCCTCGCGGTTAAGAAACCCTTCCATGTAGTGTATCAAGGAGCGTAGCACCGTTTCCGTTGACCTACCCTTCCGATACACATGTTGTACCGGAGACACCCACCTCGGGTTAAGGTTGCTCCTTATGTATGCGTCTGTCAATTTTTCCAATATTTTTAGTAGAAACGAAACTAATTGGTCTAAAATCCTTTGGGCAGCTGTGAGAGCTCCTCCCAGTTTTAGGAATGAAGACGACCTTGGCAACATTCCACGATTTTGGAATGTAAGCTAGGTCTATATCTTATGAAGTTAGCTTTCATGAAAAATGTCTATAATTCCGGAATTGAGGTTTTTTTAATAAATGAAAAGCCTTCTCATTTTTTTGGGTTTCTGTTTGCAAGATCATCGAAGAAACTAGTCTGAAAACAAAATAAAAAAAACGCTATAGCTCAAAATAAATCACATGCTTCTTATATTTTTCGTCCACAATTTACAACCTCTAACACTTAAATTACAATTGAAAATGTTTATTAAATTTATTAAAATTAATTTTGTAATAACCGCATTACCTATAAAATCCCCACCCCCACAACATTTCATTGAAACCCAATTTCAATTTTATCGTACAAAATATAAGAGCTGAAATGTTCTTCAATATTAAAATTTAGAGCAATGATGTGAAAATGATTTTGCGTTAAATCTTAAATTCAATTATGTATTTTGCCATTACCACAGTATTTCAAAAACAAAAAAAACTCGATCACCATTCGATCAAATTGGAAATTGCTCATAGTTCCATATTATTCAATTTATAAACTTTGTCTTCATTGTATATTTCAGAAACACCAAAGAAATGAATATTCAAATTATTATTTATTGAAAATAATTCTGATGAATAATAATGCAATCCAGTGTAAACCTTAAAAAAAAATGAAAATGTTAGTCAATTATATTTAATTTTTGAATGAAAAGATGAAAAATTGAAAAACAAATCACTTCCGGACGAAAGATTTCTTTTAGAAAAATCAAAAATCCAAAATAATATGGTGTTCTTATGGAAGATGAACAAAATATTAAAATTGTAATATTGAATTTTCCTTCTTAGTGCTGTCAACATTAGTCGAAATAGAACTCTCATCCGCAACAAAGGCTCTTTTAAGTTGAAAACAAAACCGGACCACAATTCATATAGAGTACACTGCTCAGAATCAAGCAAAATTAGCAGTGACGTTTTTTTTTGACATCATCTGTTTCCACGTGTGTGGCATTGTGTGCAAAATACTGAGCTGTTGATTTTGGTGTCACGCTTTTCATAACAAGGTGGGTAAACAACGTGGGTAATTGTGGGTTAATAACGGAAATTGTCAGCCGTTGCCACTCTCCGCATTGGTTTTATTTTTAAAATTACTAAAATTGTTCGTATGAAGTTTAAATGAGTTTTAACAAAAATTATTTGCTAGAGTTGTCAATGGCCGCTTCTTTGATTCAATATAAATAAAATTATTTTTGTGACAAGATAATTTTTTTGTTTTGAAATTATCACAGTAACAGACGAACGAATAAAGAAGCATAGCTGAATCTATTATGAGCGCATGTGAGTTAAAGCTATTTATGCGAATATTTTCAGAAATCAACACGGAACAACGTGATCTGTCGTATTAAATGTGTTCGAATTTATAACAAAAATCGTTTTGATTCATTTCACTTTTAAAGCCATAATTTTTTTTTGCTGTAATTTATTTTTATTAGAATTTTAAATGAAAAATTATTCCTAACCACAAATAATTTATTCAATAAAATTTTATTTTATTCCATTGCTGTCTCATGCTAAGTGAATCGCAAAACAATAGGCTGTATTTGTTTCCTAATTCTTGACAAAGCAGATTAGTGTCTCGTTTTATTATAGTTAGAAAAATTGTTGCAAGCGCATAAATTCCTCAAGTATTAAAAAAAATGAAAATAAAATTTAATAAAATTGCATTTTTGCTTACTATTTTATTAATCAAAAGTAAAAATATTTCTGCTCAAGGTAAGTGTATTAATTTTTGTGTGTATCACTAGAAGCAAACAGTCTAAAATAATTCGTTATATATACTCGTAGGTAGTTCTAATAATGTAAATCCTAACACAAACCCTAACAATAATTTGGCAAATTCAAATCTAAATCAACCACCATTATCACCAAATCAACCGAGTGATTTATGCATTGAATGTATATGCAATGTGATGAGTGGCTGCAGAAGTTCCACTGGTTGTTTTGCAAATAGATGTGGACCTTTTAATATTTCTGATACATTTTGGAGTACAGGAGGTTTATTGCAATTTTTATTTTGTATTTATGTTTATTTTTATAATTAAAAATTAATTTTTAGGTGCTCCCAAATTATCAGATAATGATAGTGATGGTAAGTATATCTAGAATAAATAAAATGTATTGAGTTACAAGCGTATTCTGAAAAAACCAACTTTACTTTTTATAGCTGTAGCATTTGAAAGATGTGCTAATAATAAAGGATGCGCAAGTCAGGCTGTTAAACAGGCTTTATCACTTTATTCAACGGATTGTAATGGCGACAGTAAGTACATTAAAGGACCATATCAATCAAAGAACCTTTTTATTTAAAATCAATAAAGTTGTCTAAGTTTTCCAAATTATTTAAATTTTTTTTTTAATTTTTAGATCAAATCACTTGTTCGGATTATCTTGCAATTCATATGCTTAATGCAAAAAATTGTAGAAATTTCTTTAGTAACAAAGGTTTTACTAGATATTTGGAAACCTTAAATAATTGTGAACAATCACGTCAAACAAATGATAATCAAATTAATGAAGGTAGCTAGTGATTTCGAAAATTTAAAATACATTTTAAAATTTTAATTGCATTTGTTAGAGTTGAACATTAATCGAACAACTATATCTGAAGTTAGTCGGCCATTAGTGACAAATATTCCTCAATCTTGTATCAATTGTTTGTATAATGCTACAATTGAAGGGAACAATATTAATTCAGTGAATTGTGCTAGAAAAATATGTGAATCAAATAATACAAGACAAATTAATACAGGTTTGTCTTAACCACATAAAAAGCAACAATGCTCATTTCAAAATAAAAAAAAATTCGATATTTTTAGAATTGGGCACTTGTATAAGCAATAGAAGATGTACCCCAATTACTATCGAAGGATATTTGATTGCTAAGGGAAGAGACTGTAATAATGATCGTAAGTTTTGAAAAATTTTATTGGTATTTTTTTATTTACTTTTCATATATTGCGGAATTTTTTAGAACGCATTGATTGTTCCGATTTTATTGCAATTTATGCAGCTGGATTTGAAAATTGTTCAGATTATTTCACTCATCCCAGACATTTTATACAAGGACAAAATTTTGATACTTGTATATCGAGCAGCCGTACTTCTGGAATAAATGGTGAGTACAAAATATTTTACTCCATTTCAGTTAAGCGGATGGAGTTAATCGTATTAGTCATAACATGTTTTTAACTGCAGTACATATCATTTACTATCGGAATTTAAATTAAGTAAGCAGTACAGTAGTAACATTCCAAATAACAATCCAAAATTTTACTTTTTTATTGTAGATACTAGTGTAAAACTTACAAATGTCAATAGCCTGGGAAACTCTCCAACAAATATTAATGAGTTGCAAAATCCAACATCAACAATATTTAATAATGTGTCATTGCAATGCTTAAAATGCATATATGATAATGGAAAAAGGCAATCGAATGAAACAATGTTTGAAGGTTGCAAATCGAAATTTTGTGGTCCATTAAATATTTCGGAACAAAATTGGATTTCTGCAGGTTTTTTTGCTTTTCTTATTTAAAAAATTAAACAAATTAATTTTTTATATAATTATAATTATTTTTAAAGGTGAACCATCTGGTGATACAAGCCCATATCCCGGTAAATATTTTAACTTATTCCGAGTGTTGAATCATTAAGTGATCGTTGGTATTTGTCTTAAAAGTTTTAAAAACCTTATTATAAGACATGCACCATTTGGTTTGTATTAACAATAATAATATCGAACGTTTTACGATAATTATCACTATCACTTGCTAATTCGATACCCCGAATAAGCTTCTTTACAGATTTCATTAAATTATTTTTGAAATATTCTCACTATCATGTAATAGCATTTACAAGCTGTGCTTATACCCGAGATTGTGCTATAAAAGTTATTGAAAAAGATATTATAAATCTTAATCGGGATTGCAACAATGACAGTAAGAATAAAATTCTTTCCTTTTAAATTCGAAAATTAAATGCTGCCACGATAATTTTTTCTTTTTGTATTTTTAGGAAAAGTTGACTGTCTTGATTATTTAGCAATTATTTCATCAAATTTGGATACTTGTGAAGATTTTTTCAAAGATGAAACAAATAAAAAATCTATAGATTTTGTAAATGAATGCATTAATCCTAAAAAGGAGTCCTTTGCTACTAGATGTACATTTGCATCGAAGAAATTTTTATTAGTCTTTGCATTCGGTTGGATTTTTAAATATTTATTTTAAATGATGAATAAGATGGCGTCATTAAATTCTCAATTTAAATGTAGTGAAAATTAAAATAAACAACTTAATACAAATTTAAGAGCCTGCAAAATTACTGTTAACTGACATTTATTAAGTGAATAAAAGTTAAATAAAAGTAATTGTTTCATAATAGAATGCTGGAATTTGAGCAAATATAAAGAATTTTTTTATTCAAATCACTTTAAATACCCGAATTTAGACATTTCAAATATGATAGCTTTATTAATAAAATTCTCTCTTAAATGTCGAACTAATATGAAATTGTTCCTGGTACAAGTTAGAAGAATGTAATTGTATTTTATTGCTGTACCTAAATGTACTTTGTGCTGTGCTTAACTCTACAAACTTGCAGTTTAATCGCCGTCATTTCGAATTCAAATAACGTGAAGCAATTTTCTGAAATTTTCATATAACAAGTGTTTACCGCATTTATTTAAGTGTACTCGTAGTATTTAAGAGCTCAATTTAAAATTTTTAAAGCATCCTTTTTGCGCTCGCGTAATTAACAAATAAATTATTCGAGTCCAGTTCGAGGTGAAAAAAATTTTTTAATGAATTTTTCTGCCTTTAACTCGTTCCTTTTATTACGTCATCCATCTGTTCTGCAGTTGCATGAAGAAATTTACATTAAGTTAAGTTAAATAAATTATTATCAACACTTTCAGTTCAGTTATTAAAAAATATTTTAAAAATTTTCCACTGAAAAGTATTTTAGATACGGTTGTTATTAGTCTCCTCGTTATTAATCAAAGTCTAAAACCACAAAACTACGTTCGAAATGAATTTGAGTGTATTGCTTTAAAAATAGCCACTTAAAATTATTTTAGCCTTTACGCGAAGCATTTGAAAAACATTCGATTTCAGTTTACTTTTAAAGCTCATTTAAATACTGTGTTTTTTTTTCTATTCTGAATAAAATTCTTGGTTTTTATTAGGAAAGTTTCAATAAAATGAAAATATTGTACTTATTTTTAGAAATACTATTCATACTAAGTTTGATTTTAATTAGAGGTTTTGAAAGTAAGTAGTCAAATATGGCTTTGCTCTCGATTGAGACAATTAAAATTTATTCAAATGATAGTAGCCATTTTAAATTCAATTAATTTTTAATATTTAATTTTTATAAGGTATAAGTGATAAACAACTAAAATATCCACCTGTAACACAACAATGTATTGGTTGTATGTGTGAAGCGATAAATGGTTGTAACGAGAATACATTAAAATGTGAATTAGATGTTTGTGGACCATTTCGTATGACAAAATGGTATTGGGCTGATGCTGGTAAAAAAACAATATTTTTTATATTTAAATTATTTTTTTCTTAATCAAAAATTTTAATTGATTAAAGAAAATAAAATGGCACCAATGGATGATCTTACAGGTAAATACAAAAGTGTTAAATTTTGAATATATCGGAAAACTCGAAAATCTTACATGTTAATTAACATCCATAATTTTAATAGAATTCGAAAAATGTGCAAATGATGTGTTCTGTTCTTTCAATATAGTTCAAAAATATATGGAAAAATATCGAACAGACTGTAATGAAGATGGTAAGTTTAAATTTTCCAGCTCACACATGATAAGTTAATTAAGAAACTAAATTTGAAAAATTTTTTTAGGAGAAATCAATTGTCTTGATTATATTGCTATACATAAGATGGGTAAATTAGCATGTCATAGTTTTTTCGTTAATGAAGCCGATAATCCATTAAAAACGAAATTAGAAAATTGTTTAAAAAAAGCTGAAATTAATATTTCAAATTATACAAAAGTAGCAAGGCAATTATAATAAGAAAGCCTGCGTGTGGAATCCCTAATAATTTTAGTCTGAGTGAAAACAAATACGAATAAATTGATGTTGAAATAAAATATTTAATTAGAATTTTATTAGAGTTATTTGAATTCATTGCCGTAGCTCTTTTTGGAGAGTTTAAATATAATTAAGATTCGAACACGAGAGTGTAGTCTTAATCAAAAATTCTTATAACAAGCTAATCTTGAAAATGTTACTTAAAAAAGCTCAATAATAAGCTCAATTTAATAAAAGCTCAATAAAATATTATAGAGCTTTTCACTACATTTCGATGAACTACAATATGTGTGCATATGAATCACTAATACTTCCGTGAACTGAGTGAAATGGAAACATTAAAAATAATACTTAAGTCATACTCCAAAAAAGAGCATAATTTTTCCAAGACTCTCATTATAAGTGTGTTTATTATAAGTTTCTTTGAAGTGAACGAAAGTTTTAATATTTTTTTGTAATAGAAAAACAAGAGAACCGCAAGCATTTCAGAATAAATACATACTAAAAAACTCATTCTCTCTATAGGAAAATTCTAAAACTCTGACCAACATTCAAGTTTTTTTATATAATCATTCTCATATTGTGCCTTCCTAAGTGAAAAACTAGAAACAATCTAAAAAAATATTAATAAAAATACGGGGAAATGTTTGTTTTGATTACAAGCTTTGTGTTACTAACACTTAATTTAAATTTAAATGGAAATTGCCTAGGTAAGTAAATGCAATATCTTCTTCATATTTACACACGGATTACGTAATATTTTATTGAATAAAGCCTTCCAAAAATTCTTTTAAGAATTACCTAATAATACGATAAATAAAAAATCAGAATTACCACCCGTATCACAGCAATGTATGGGTTGTATTTGTGAAGCAATGAGTGGTTGCGGATTAGATATGGCAAGTTGTAGAAAAGATGTTTGTGGACCATATCGGATTACAAAAGGATATTGGGCAGATGCATGTAATATACTTTTTTTATTTTGTTAAATATTATATAATTTGAAAAAATAATTAAAATTCTTAATTTTTTTATAGATCAAGTACCAGAGCCAACAAATGATCTTGCAGGTATAAATAATGCTCTGATTATAAATGAATTTAAGAATCTGTTTCCCGTATTAAATACATCGTCTGTTGAACTCAAATTAGTTTGAGCGGGACATCTATTGAATTCATTAAATGATTATTTAAGTACCAAGAAAATATAATAAGTCACATATATCACATGCAAGGGGTAATCTCATTGGGTGGTAATATAACAGTATCATGAATTTATTACCCACAAAAGCTTGTCGTAATTTTATACATTCGTAACTGAATACATTCCTCATTCAGTTTATTGCACTTGCACAATTTAGAATAATTCTCATTTAAATTTCGGTCATTAAAACTCTCAGCGGACTATAAACTAGCTTACAACTATTTAATCAAAACTAATCACAGCTTTTATGTAACTATATTTTTACTATGGATTTATGCTCACTTAGTTCACTTTATCTGAGCAGTAATTTACATTTTATACGTTACTATATTTTTTTAACGGTAACGCAATAAACTTCCGCAACGATGAGTGCCCAATTATGAGGAATATTAGCCCGCATTTTAAAAACATATTACATATCCACTAGTACCATTTTATTAAATTAAACACTTTTTCTTATTAGAATACGAAAGGTGTGCTAAAGATTTGTTCTGTTCTTTTAACATGGTCCAAGAACATATGAGGAAATATAGAAAAGATTGTAATGGTGATAGTAAGTCCAATTTCTTAAAATTTGCTTATAATAAAAAAAATATTTGATTGCTAATTTTTATTTCTTTTGTAGATGTAGTGAACTGTGTGGATTTCCTTGCAATTCATTACCTTGGCCGTATGGATTGTGAACAATTTTTTCGTAAAAATGACGAACATCCATATGTTAAAACTTTAGAAAAATGTTTGAGAAAAGCAAAAACAAATTTACTTACAGTTGGAATCAATTTATCCTCCAAAGAGCAAATGTTCTAAATTATGAATGAAAAAAAATTTGTATAATTAGTTAAAAATTTCAATAAAGAAGTTTTGTGATTTGCGATCCACTTACATAAGCACTATTTCCAGGCCCTTAATGAATCTGGGTACTTCGACCGGTAGGAGTCACGAGGTGCAGCTTAGAATTAAGCAGGTCACAGCCTTAAAATCGTAAAGCAAATGCTCAACCGTCTCATTTTCTTCCAAGTAGAGACAACGCAGTTCACTCTCCACCTTGTTTATTCTTTCCAGGTTGAAAGCCACTTACTGAGCACTTCCGTATATCAATGGAAAGAATTTGAATCCCGTCTTGACGAAGTGCTTCGAGAAAAGATAGATAGTATTATTGCATTTCGTTTTCGCTTGGGTCTGCGATTCGATTCCAAAATCAAACGATATAATGCGTCCTAAAATGAGAAACTTAACGATTCGAAAAAAATCTTTTAAAGAATAATATTAACATTAAAAAAATAATATTAACATTAGTCGAACCACAATTATGACTTAATTTTATTATAATTATATTTTATTGTGTTGAAAGCATAACTCTATGCCCTAAAATGGCAATAAATTAACCCTTTACCCTAATGTCACTTTCAAATTAAACAAACATTGAATTATAACACTTTTGTATAATTTAATATACTTCGCTTTTAATAATTTAAATTTATCATCCTTAAGATATTCTAATAAATATAAAGGAAATTTCTTAAAGAGATGAGTTCCGATAATACACAAAAAAAAAAACAAAAGTATGAGCAAGAATCAAGAAGAGAGGGGACAATTATCTAACAATATTATTTTATGATAAAAGTAAAAATCAAAATGGCAAACATAAAATAAGCTCAAGAGACTCATTAATAAAATCAGCGATTCCATCAAGAAAACAAGTACTTCAATCAATAAACATTTTGAAAATAACACAAAGCAATATATAAACAACAATGACGAAGAACCAACCAATACCAAAGAAAATATTACAAAATAAAATGTGGAATGAGGAGGTCCTTTTAAAGATTTTCATTAAAGAAAAGAACAGGCGAAATGTAATCAAACAATAACTTTTATTATAAGAAAATTGAGGATATGGAAAAGAGGGAGAGAACCTTATTAAGTTAAAAAAGATAAAAGTGAAGAAAAATAATATAAAATAAAAGTGAAGAGGTTGTTAGTTTTCGACATGTCTAAGCTTAAATTCCGATGTGAACGGAATGAAAAACATAAAGTAATTGTTTTATGAAAATTATGTTCGATTTTTTTTTTTTTGTTTTATCATCCAAAATTCATAAAATGTCTTGGATGGAAAAAGAAGTCTGGGAATTTTTGTTTGTTTTTTCTTCTTTATTCTGAAAAAGAGAAAACAACAAATATTTTTTGAACAATCAAATTCAAATCACATGAAAAATAAAATAGAACAGTGAATGTACTTATTTTCCTACCTCCATCGAATTCGGATTAGGCTAAATTGAATAGAGGTATGAGTAAATTCGCCGAGTACATGCAATTATTGAGTTTGCAATAATATAGTTTTATTGAAATATTGCATGTGACGCAAAACTTCCCTGTTACAAGAGCGAGACCCTGGAAATACACGGACTGCTTTTGGCTCACTGTACCAGATCTGGAAAGCAAATAACAATAAATTATGTTCCACTATTTACTTCCCTCATAGGCTAATTTCCTTTCTAGCTATTGTAAATCATGCGATAATTGATGTTATTTATAAAGAGGTTGATTGAGACATTCGGGTCCGGCCTTTACTGGATGCTACATTCCTTGTAACTCTCTTCTGAGTGTTTTTTTTTATACAATATCAAAATTTAAATGAGTACATGCTGTAATCATTAATAAATTCTTTATAAACAAAAAGCAACACGATAGGCAATCGGTTTTACGGTTTCTAATTTGAAAATTTTATGTCTTGCAAATAATTTGTAATTTGTCGGCAGACATTATTAAAACTGATAAAATGTTGATGTTCTTTTGTTTGTCAAAATAAATAAAAGAAATGGAAAGCTGTCAAAAGCATAATATCAAACAAACAGCAAAAGCAATTACATTATTCTACTCAATATATTGTTACTCAATATAACTAACCGGTCGGGCGTAAGTGTACTTTAAAGCTAATCGATTTATTATTAAATATTTTAATATAAGAAAGATTCTTGTATCACGCTTTAGTATAAAATATTCATATGTTTGAAAAGTGATTGTTAAGAAATTATGGTACATAATTGGAGTAAGCAAAACAAAGTGAGATAAACAGAATAAAAGGTGCTCGTGCTGGTACTTCATGGCTTAGATCATAAACAAGGAGCTCCAAACTCTGTGTACAAGTTTTTAAAATTCTGGGTGGGAAATGTTATATATACTTTGGAATTCATATTGCTCAATTTTTTGAGCCTTGCCGGAACACGGGGCTCTAGTTTTACATATCAAAATTGCACTTCAGAATTCGATATCTGAACCAAGACCGCGAAGAAAAAAACAGATATTAGAGGAATTCGTAAAACAACTTCAAAGTTAAATAATATAGATGTATTCTAAATATATTAAAAAATCCGAACTTTTGGAGCAATAAAGCTTATTGCATTTTTACACACACAAAATACTTGAACTGAGCACTTATATTGAAATTTTTAAACTGAACCAGTGTAAAATCACAATACGTTTTACAAGTTAATCATATTACATCTGTTGTATTGTGTTCAATGTTTACTCAACAAGGACGGAATTCCCAAATGTAATTCACAATAGCAATTATTTTAATCAAAGAACCTATTCAAATTTTAATTATTCGAATTTATTTAAATATATTCAAATTTTATTTTGAATTTTTGTATTCTCCTAAATAAAAAATATTACTATTTTTACAAAAATTTTATAATTTATTTATTTAAAATTTAATGTAGTTCTAGAACTCAATCTAGTTCTTTTAATTTTTCTAAAAACTCTCTACATTCTACACGTTATAATTATTTTTGATATACCCATAAAGTACAATTTGTAATTGAATTTAGCTTTATATTTTACTAAGTGAAAAACTCATAATGGTATTCGTTCAAATAAGAACAATAAGAAGACACTATTGAGTAAAAGTTCATGAAAGCCACTATAAGTAATACACTCAGTCCTGGTGAGGATAATGATACTTACACTCATTTAAAGAAAACTGAATTCGGATGGAGTTATCTTAATCAACGCAAAATTTTACTTTGAGCAAGAATATGCTCATATACCGCAGACGACTTCAAGTTTAGTTACAAATTCCACACCAGCGAGTTAATTTAACTCTAACTGAAGTGTAACTGTTATATACCCCATAGTTAAACATAATTTAAATTCTTAAAAAGTTTTGACCTCAAGAAAACCGTTACCAATATCACAGACCTTAGAGCACCATTACCAAGATCAAAATAATTAGAATTAGAATTGTCGGCACGCAACATTCTAATTAATGGCTTATTCCCGCCATAATCTGTACTGCGATGACGAACATTGAAAATCTCATCCGACCTCAAATTATTCGAATTCTCTTTAAAAGATACCTGCAAATGAAAAGTTCGAGAGATATTACAATTAAACATATTTTGTTCGCTGATGAAAAACAAGGCGGAAATTACATCAAAGTGATAAATAAAAGAAAGCTTACGAGTACTACCAATAAGAAAATTGTATATGAAAATCGTTTTTCAGTATTACAAATGGAATTAAAAATTCATACGATATTCTTAAACTAGAAAAAAACCACAACACTTGTATATACATAAGTCACAATTATTGTGGATGAACTCAACAATAAAATTAGTATGCAAATTAAAGTTCATTTCATTCTATGCAAATTTCATTCTATACAATATTTTTGTTTTTATTCTATACAATATTTTTAAATTTCTATTCTTATAGTGGAAAATTAAGTAGAAAAATAATTACAAATATAGTGAGTGAATAAATTAAACACAATAGAACACAAATTAATTAATTCTTATTTAAATAAAAATATTTTATAGTAACTTTTATATATTTCTCATTAAGCTAGAACGCATAGACCGTATTAATACCCAAATTAATTTAAAAATATGAAAATTTTCAATTTAAAGTTAAGGAATTTCAATATTTTAATGACATTTTGAAAATTGAAATCACCCGGCATAATTCACCGTATAACAGGCTCCCAATTTAATGTTCGAGATTACTGCCGCACTATAATTTATAGCTTATCATTTGGAATAGTGTATGGCATACTCCCATTACTCATGAAAATAGATACTGTGATAAGCCTAAATATTATCGACTTTCTTTGGTTGGTTTGGTAATATTCACAAATCACAAATCACAAGTAAAGGCACTGGCATTTTAAAAATTTTTTAAAACACCCCTCTTTATTCTATAGGGGAAACATCTTTATACCACGTCTCCTGTGTATGACATTAAAATAAAAGTTTTTTTTCGTATAATATTATATAATAATAATTTTTCTTTTTACTATTCTTTATTTTTAATTAAAAACTTCCTGGCGAAACTATTTTTTCTCTATGAATTGTTGTGTTCTTCATTTCTTTTCTTAATGAATATGATAATTTTTTTTTTTTAATAATTACTTCCATCATAATGATAAAAAATAATTGAAGGAATAAAAATGTTATAAAAATTTTTTAAAGAAAAAAAAAATTATGGAACTATAATAATATGGAAATTCCATTTTTATTTCTAACCTTAGCAATCATTCGGAGAAGGCAAACAAGGGTGTAGATGAAGACAGAAGCAACAGAGTGAGTGAAATAGTATAAACGCAAATATGAACTCGAACATGAACGCGAATTATTAAATTTAAATTAATAAACAATTTAAAAACGGTATGAGTTACGGCTTCTCTTTAATTTTTTGTACATTGAACTTTACATAATAATTGGGGTTATACTTAAGAGTATCTAAAAGGTGAAATACCAGTTAAATTTTAATATAAGTAATAATTTTATATGGTTTTAATCAAGAAT